CCTGGCACATGGATGCACCATCTTAGTCAAACTTCTGATAACTAAACAGCTCAACTTTTTACACAAGATGTCAAAGTATTCTCCAGCCCAACCAACCATCCTTTCCTTGCCCAGGCCAATCCCCCTTCTTCAAAAATCCCAAACACTCAATTTCAAAAGCCAAACATTTCGAGAGGCCAGTCTAAGATAGCTGCAGCACAAAACATCCAACACGGAAAGGCGCTGCCGGATAGGGGCCATGTTGGATGTTTTTGGTCTGGGGGTGATTATAGGCAAACAAACAATATCAAAAATAAGGCTTGAAAAATTTTGCCTGTTATTTCCGAAGTCTTATTTCAGAGGTTTATTTTAAATAATCGTATCTTGACCCTTAAAGAACACTGTCCTCAGTAGATCGCCTCATCGGAGGTGGCAGGGAGAATCGGTGAGGGAGTGTGGAATCCGGCTAGGCGTGGCGGTTCCCGCAAGTGCCACGTAACCAGGGCGCTCCAACTAATTTGACCTCCAGAAAAGGCGAAGAGAAGCGAAAGGCCGGCATAGATATTAGGGCAGAAGACTCAGGAGGGAGTAGAAGTAAAGAGCCGTGCGGTCCCGGGACCGCGGGCAGAGAGAGAACAGAAGAGGGTCCACAAGAGGGTCCCGGGTGGGGCGCCAGAAGGATGCGAGGAGAGGACGGTCACGTGGCGCCCAGCACAGGCCGGGAGCGCCAGGTCCAATGGGAGGAGGGCGCGAGCCGCACCTCAACCTGCCCGCGGACGTCACGACGCCGAGGCGGACGTCGGGCCAATGGGAGGCCGTCACGGGCAGGGGCGGGGCCCGGAGGATTGGGCTGGGCCGCCCTGAGACAGTTGGCAGAGCCGTGTGGCCGCCGCGGGAGAGAGGGAGGACCGAGCCGGCGGCCGCGGAAGCCGGCCTGCCTAAGCCTCCCGCCCGCCCCTGCCCCTCCCGCATGGTGCCGGCTCCTCTCTAAGCGGCGGCGGCGAGGCGTGAGGGACGCGCCGCGGAGGCGGCCCGGGCTCGAGGCTTCCCGTCTCCCGCACTTCCTCCTGCAGTGTCCGTGCGCGGCCGTCGCGGCGGGCGGGATGGCGGCGGCCCGGGGCAGCGGCCGCGCATCTGCGCCCCGGCTGCTTCTGCTCCTGCTGTTTCCGCTGTTGTGGGCCCCGGCGGGGGTCCGGGCCGTCCCCGAAGAAGACCTTAGCCACCGGAACAAGGAGCCGCCGGCGCCTGCCCAGCAGCTGCAGCCGCAGCCCGCAGCCGGGCAGGGCCCCGAGCCAGCCCGGGCCGAGGTGAGCGGGCCGCGCCGGGGCGGGCGAGGCTGCGGAGCCGGCGCGCCGGGTACCAGGCTCGCGGGCGCCCTGAGCGCGGCCCTCGGGCCGGAGCTGCGGGCGGGGGAGGGGAGCCCGGCCCCACTCCCCGGGGTGGAGGACGGCGGAGTGCGGTTTTTCCCGGTCAGGCCTGGCCTCGCCCGCTCCTTATGGGGGAGGGGCCGGGAGAGCCGCAGGGAGCCCGCTGGATCCCTTCAGTTCGGGAGGACGGGGATGCGCTGAGCCGCGCGCGGGCGTCCTGTTGATCTGATGTATCCCAGAGCTGGAAATACTCATCCCGGGTAGAAAGTTTTTCACAGAGGGCGGCTGGGAGGCTTTTCCTATTCTCTGAGGATGATCACATCTGCCATTTCACTGTGGAAACAGCTTATCCCAAACTGCTTACCCACCTTCAGCTGTGCACGACCTGTGCTTTTTGCCAAATGTGTATGGATTATGAAGCGTGACTCTCACTTTTTAAGGACGTGTCCTGGCTTGTGGGAAGCAGCACTTAGGAAGGCAGAGGAATTCTCCATCCTTGACAGTCAGTCCAGAGTGCCGCAGCGGTATGCGATGCCGAAACTAAATTTTTAAGTGAACTAGAACCCTCTTCTTTGGCCTTCACTAAACATATTAATAACGTCTTAGCTTATGTTAATAGAATCGCTTAGGCGCTTGGATTCAGAATCTCCGCAGCATTTTCAGACTTCTTCCCTCTACCAGTCCTGCCTTTCTCGTCTTTTCCAATCAGAGTTCAGGCCCTCTGTAGCCTCTTCTAGTAGGGGTCGGTTTGGCCCTCAACCCCCGCAGTCCCACCCCAGGCTGCATTCAGCCTGTGGCCACCCGACTAATCTTCCTGAACAGTGAATTCTGTTTGACTTCTCGGAAATCCTGCGTTAGTTTCCCCTGCATACTGATTTCAGTCCAGCCTCGTCAGCAGCCTGGTCTGGGTTCTTCCTGATGTGGCTGCAGTCAACCTTCAGGTTTGTCAGCCACCACTCCCGTGCTCGTGCGCTGTACAGTAGTCCCCACCCTTACCCTGGGGGATACATTCCAAGTCCCCCAGTGGGTGCCTGAAACCGGGGAAAGTTCCTAACCCTGTGTATACTGTGTTTTTTCCTATACATACCTGTGGTAAAAGTTTATTTCATAAGTTAGGCACAGTAAGAGATTAACTGCAGTAACTTCCCTTTGGCATATCCGAATTGCCAGCATCACTACTCTTGCACTTTGGGGTCATTATTAAGTAAAATAGTTATTTGAACGCAAGCACTGCAATACTGAGACAGTCGCCCAGGGGGGCACCGAGCAAGATTTCATCACTCTTCTCAGAACCGCGTGCAGCCGAACAGTATGAGTTGCTTATTGCTGGAATTTTCCATTTAATATTTTTGGACCGCGGTTGACCGAGGGTAACTGAAACCGCGGAAAGCGAAACCGCGGACAAGAGGGGACTACTATCTTCCAACCGGAGACGTGCCATGTGCTCTGTTGTTAGTCTCTCTAACAAAAGGCCTTCCTAAAAAAGGGGCCTCAGTGAGCTTGAAGCCCACTGGTCCCAACCGTCCCACCTTTCAGGAACCAGCAGATACCTCCTCTCTGTGGAGATTTTCCTAAAATTCCCTGGTTAAAAGCAGTTTCTCTCTTCCTTGTCCCTCCTGGGCTCAGGTGACTCTGCTAGCCATTTCCACTTCTGAAATTTAACTGAAATGCTGATTCATGAAATTTACTTTTAGTGTTCATCATTTAGCCTTCTTCTGTCATCATTATCAGAAGTTTATTTTAAAACTAACTGTTTTGGATTAAGTAGCTTTGTGAGTGAGCGAGAAAGAGATTATGAATGTAACTTTCCAGGCCTTTCATCAGAGTTTTAGTCATGTGGTGATTTTGAGTGTACAAATAGTGCTAGATATGGCTATTTATGCCCCTTTAGACAGCTAGGGTAAATCTAGCCATGTAAAAGGCAACAGTGTTCAGTGATCATATTTAAGTGATCTTAAGGATCCTTGTCTTTAAAACTGGGCATGTGGAGGGAAGGGGCAGGCACAGTATAGTAGGATTTTTGACTGTAATATTTTGATACATTCTTGGTAGTTCTTTTTAGGTAGGAATTTATTCAAATTTCTTCCATATTGTGGTGGAATGTAGTTGTCTTGTTTTAATTATATTTTCATGTAACTTTTTGATATGGCTCAAGTGATTTTTTTTCTCTACCTACAGTACTACAGCATGTTGGACGAGATTTTCCTTTCGTATGTTTTCTAAACTATGTAATATATAAGTATCATTTGCTTTTTTTGTCCTTGGTGGAGGTAAAATGTGGTCAGAGTTCAATTTAATAGCCCTGTAAGCAAGGGCTCAGCATTGCTGAGCATCTGAAACTTTCAAGTGTTTTGCTTTGCAACCACATGCAGTAGGTCTTTTAAAAGGGTAGGATATTTAAACTTCCCCTTTTCGTGCCATTATGTGAAAGTGGATTTCTGAAAGTGGAGGGGGAAAAAAATCTCTCCTTCATTGGTAGGCATTCATGTGTAAGATGTGTTATAAAAATGTAGTTGTTTCTTACTTAGAGGGTGCTTTGGAGCAAGATAACTGAACTTCTAATAGGGCTTTCTACATTGAGTATGTTTTTTCCTCTACAATCAGGTCAAAAAAAAAGTTGAGGAGTTCAGAGTTTTGATCACTTGGATCCTTTCATTTATGCAGTTTATGCTTCTAGCCACTTACTCGGTTCTTTTCTTATTCCTTCCCTGGGCAGAGTATGTAATAAAAGAAGCCTGAAGTCCCTTCATTTGGGGGAGATCAGATAGATGTAATAAAGGTAATTTATAATTTGCTGCATATTCTGGAAGTCCACAGAAGAACTGCTCGGCTTGCATAACACTGTCGATAAAGCCACAGAAGCCTATTACCTGCTCCCGTACAAATTCTTGTTATTGTATTTCTGCTTTACTGTTTCTTGGCATTTCTTTTATTTAATGTCTTTCAACTGTGAGAAGGCCCTCCACACAATATTTTAAACTTGTTTCCATTTTCATTAAGTTGCAGTCCTGCCCTGTCCAGTGCAGACTCCCCATTCTAGCTTCTTTACAGCTAAGCTTGAGGCCGTCAGGTGTGAGGACTCTTGTCTCACTCTTGATTGCTTTGTCAGAGTGAAATGATCATTATGTGACTGAATTTGTTGATATTCTACCATCAAAGTAATTCATTAAAAAAAAAGTGAAACTAAATAGATTTAAGACATTTCAAATGTCAAAATTTATAAATACAACACAAAAGAACATTCATAAAAATAACGTTAAACATTCATTAAATAAAAATGTATTTATAAAAATGTAATTGTTAAATATCTTTTAATACGAATTAGCAAATAACATTAATAAAAAAATATTATTTAAAGTACAACAAACTAAACTACCCATAGATAAAAAGACATAATAGTGAAAATTTATAATAAAATATCATTTTATCTTTTATTTTAATGCAGTCTTTCAAAACCAGGTTTATCCTTGGTGTCATTGTTTAAGTTGCACGTATTTTTGTGCACGTTTTACCAACTTCTGAAAAGATTCTTCTGATTTCATGCAATAAAGTAATTGTGAGGACATAGTTCGGAGCCAGTTTTCCTCCGATTCCTTTAGCTTCGAATCATCTCCCCTCTCGTGTGATAACTTTTGTTGAGCAACTTTGTTTTTGTTTTTTTTTTTTTTTGCAGGGACATCAGTCTTTTTCTTGGTAACAGGCTGTAGATTTTGTTTCAAAGAAAGCATCTTCATCTTCTAGTTTCATCCTGTGTAGATGGAGATTCCGATGCAGGTACCTGTATCAATGTCCATCCAGTTACATGTGCTCATTTGAACTCTAGAACTAGAATAGGAACTATTTTTTCATTGTTGATTGTTATTTTCTTCCTTCACTTGAAGATCATGAAAGCATAAAAGAATACTTTCTAAATGGGGGTACTTTTTTCCCCTGCAATTTTTCAATTTGGAACTAATTTTAGCATTGAGTAAAGAAGAGTTTTACTCGGCAAGTTTTTTTTTAAATTATAAGTTGTTGACCCTGCTCTCAAGATGTAAATAACTTGTTTCAGACCCAAGCTAAGTAATTTGGGTTTCAGTCCCAAATTAAAATACTGAAATAGTGGTATTTGTACCAAGGAGAACCCTATTTCATTACTTAATATGGTATAGCACTGTGTAACTGAACAGTGGGATACCAAAATTGGAATTGTAGTTACTGCCTCTGACCCTCCTGTACACATATGGATACTTGCTTCTCTGCCCGTACCTCTGCCTTTCTTCAGGTATTGGACAAAGCCGTCATGCCCTCCATCCCTCTTCTCTGTCCTTGTGCCTGTTCTCTGACCTCTGGTGCTTTCCTTCCTGTGTCTTTATTCTCCCCTTTTCAAAATTGGTTCCTTTCTGTCTGCTTACACATGCTCACAGGTTTCTCCTATTTGGGCAAAGAGAAAAAAAGGCCATTAATTTAACTGTACTTGACTACATTAGTTTCTCTTCAGTTTTGTAAACCAAATTTCTAACCAGGTAATTAGCTGCTTTTCCACTTTGCCTTAGTCTTCCATTATCTGGCTTTAGCCCCTTTTCATTGAAATTCCATTTTTGATCCTGCCTTATTGCTAAATTCAGGGGTCTTTTTCAGTTCTCATTTGAAACTCTTAACTCTCCACACCTTTAAGGCATCCTACCCCATCTTGGCTGTATGAACTTGGGAAAATTATTTAACCCTGTTGGTCCTCGGTTTTTCCTCTCATGTGAAGTTGGGATAACAGCTCTTAAGGTTTTTGAGTGTCAAATAAAACAAGGTATATGGAAGTAGCTGGCATCTCGTTAATAGCTTGGTGAAAGGTGATTGTCCCTAACTTGATCGATCATCTGTGATGCTCGCCTGCCCAGCTCTCTAAATATTGAAGACAGTTTTGTTTCCTCTTTTATTCCCCCCTCCTCCCACTTCCCTAAATATAGACATTCTCTAGGGCTCATTTTTTCACCTTCATCTCTGCCTTTTTCCTTGGAAATCTCCTCTACTTGCAAAGCTCTAGCTGATAAGGTTAGGCTGCCAGCAACCGGACACATACCTTGAGGCTGTGCTGGCCTAAACTCATTTCTGATGATCTCTTGGAAACCTTCATTTGAAATGCTTTTTATCACCTCAAATTGAACACAACTGAAACCAAACCCTTATTTTTATTCCTCTTTGCCACATACCTTGTAGGAATACGAATATTTCTCCTAGTCAGCTAGGCAGAAAACCTTGGCATCATCTTTGATTCTCCCCGCTTTTTAAAGTTATGTTGATTTTTCCTTTCTATCATGTGCAGAATTTTTTCCTTATCTGTTTTATCTTCAACATTGGTCTTGTGCAGCTGACCTCCTAATTAATTGGTCCAGTGACTGGTATTCTCTGCTTTCCGCCCTGATCTGTTAGTCACAGTGCCTTAATCATGTTCGTGTCTTCTACTCGAAAACTTTTAAGGCTTCTCTCTTGCATCTAAGCTGGTCCATAAACATACAGGATTTTCCGTCTAGGCCCAATTTATCTTTCTCACCTTACCCTAACCATTCATCTGGTTTACTCTGTTCTCAGAACATGCCTGTATACTTTTAAACTGTTAGTCCAGAGAAGTAGGTATTGCATGTACACCAGTGCATCTTCAAGTTAGCCGCTCCATGAGTGAGTAGTGCTGAATCCCACTGAGACTTTCAAGGAGCCTTATGAAATGAACCTCTGAACTGACTTTCCCCATTGGTCCAAGGTTGTCCCGCAGGAGTTAACTCCTCCATACTTCTGGGTAGTGAATGAGTAAGAGCACTTGCTTTCTGGTTGGACCTATAGCCAGTTACAGCCTGTAAGGAATTAGTCCTCCATAGCTGGAGTAACAGACTGGGTCAAGAGATTTTGCAAGTGGTACACAACAGGTGTCTATAATCATGTGCACGGTAAAAAATCCAAAAGGTACAGAAGAGTGTAGAGTGAAAAATACGTCTCCTCCTCCTCTTGTATTCTAGTTCAGGGGTGAGCAAACTGCAGTTTACCACTGACTGCCTGTTTTTAAAATAAAGTTTTATTGGAACAGAGCCATGCCCCTTCATTTAAGTATTATCTATGGCTGATCTCAAGCCACAGCATCAGAGTTGGGTAGTTACCAAAGAGACTTTATGACCCATGAGGTTAAATATTTGGCCCTTTAAAAAAAGTTTGCTGGCCCCTGTTCTGGTCATCTGGTTCCTTCTCTGGAAACACCCACTATAAACTGTTTCCTGAGATTTGGTGTGCATTAACAACTGTGTGTAGACTTTATCTACCTACCTAACTCCCCCCGCCAACACACATATACATCTAATGACTACATACGTAATACATAAATTTTTCAACTTCAAAGTATCTTAGCAATTTTTCTTTGTTAGTACATATAAAACAGAATGTTTTATGTTTTATATGTACTAATATACATTAGCACATATTAGTATTATGGGGCTACTCTTACTTGTTACCCCATAATAATATTGCAGTAAGTAAAGCTACCATTTGGTTAATCAGTTCCCTATTGACGGACATTTAGTTATTTTGTCTTTCTTTGTTATTACAAATGATAACATTATGTTTATACAAAAGATTAACTCCTTAAGCGTTCCTGTCTTAAACTTTGTTTCAGTCACGGACCTGACAAAACTCATTGCCCACAGTATGCATTCAGTTTTATTTAATGGGAGCAGGATCACTGGGGGCTGGAGTTGTTGGGGTAGGTCTTGCTCAAGAGCTTCTCTGTAAGTTGAATCTTGAGGAATCTAGATGAATAGGGGGATAATGAAAAGAGGGTAGGAAGCGAAGTAGGACTGATTGATTGAAGGCTGTGGTTACCAGAAACTTGCCATGCTCTTGAGTGGCCCTGCCCAGTACTATAGCCATGAGCCATGTGGTGATTCCTGAGCCCTTGAGATGTGGCTGGTCCAAACTGAGATGCGCATGAGATGTGTGTGGTGAGTGGAAACACACTGGAGTTTAAAGACTTGGAATGGAAAAAAGAATGTTAAATATCTCATTAGTAACTTAAAAAAGATTCCTAGAGTAGTATTTTGGATATATTTGGTTAAACAAAATATTATTAAAAATAATTTTATCTGTTTTTTACTTTTTTAAATGTGGCTAGCAGACAAATAAGAATTACAATATGTGGCTTGCATGATTTTTTTGGACAGTGCTGCTCTGGCCCATCCTTGAGTACGGAGTATAAGGCACATTTGGGGGACTGGTATGTGATTAGTTGGGAGGTGTTGGATGGTTACCAGAATTAAGTACTTGCATTTTATGTTCTAGGCATAAGAAGGCCATTGTAGTTTCTTAGACAGTGATGTGAAGTGAAGAAATTAGTTTTAGGAAGATTAAACTGGTTATGTTGCAGTGTGCTACAATAACTAACTTTAACTGAGCACTTACTGTGTACTAGGCACCACCTGAGGGCTTTATGTGTGTTAACTCATGTAATCCTCACAACAGCCCTATGAGCTGTAGGTACCCCTCACCTTACAGATGGAACTTGAGTCACAAGGAGGTACACTGACTGGCCCAAGCTCATGCAGTAACTGAACCCCGGCAGTCTGATTCTAGAGCCAACATGTTAAACATTATGTCACTCTGCAGGTGACTTAGAAAAAGGAGGTGATCTTTGCACACAGTAAGCACTTAGGTGTTTGATTGACAGCAAATGAATGAATGGTAACTGATCATTTTCTGACCCTATTTATTAACATTTTAAGTTTTAAAAATCATCTATCTTCATATTACCTTGATCCTTTTGTTTGAAATTCTTATCACTATGGTTGGTGGTGGTTTAACACTATGATTTTGGCTATCCGGGACCAGCTCAATATATAGCAAAAGCTGTAAGTTGGTTTTTCTTGTTTTTTATACATAGAAAGATTTTAAGAACATGTATTGTTTTGTTTTGTTGTACTTGTAAGGCAAGTTTTCATTTTATTTACATTTATTTATATAAGTTTTATTTTATCCTCTTCATTTCACAGAGGAACAGAGAGGCTAAGTATTGTAGCCAAGGTTTTATGGCTGGGTATTATAAAACCACATGTATATGTAGTTTTGATTTGTATTGTTTGTTTTTAAAAGTAAATATTTTTTGTTTGAGCTTGGAGCTAATTGGTTGTAAATGGTGTATATTTATTCCTAAAAAATTTCTTGGATTTCATATCCTAAATATTTTACAGTGAGATTTCTTCATACGAAAGGGATATCCAAGAGGAAAATGTTGCATTAGGGAAAGCCAAATGAAAATGCTTAGGTTTTTTATGATGCTTAATGTTGATAGGGTATTGGAGGAGAAAGGAAGCTCATTTTTACAGGAGCCTCAGCACAGCTGAACTAATGTGGTGATGGAGAGAGAGCTGGAGCCCCTTCAGAGGGTACCTGCTTGATCCAGAGCTCGCTTCCAAGCTGCCCTTTGATTTAGCCCTGACACCCAATGTTACCTAAAATACTAAATTTCCCCAATTTTTAGCTCAGAGGTCTAGTCTGACTAATGCTTAAATTTATCTGATCTTTACCGTGGAATTTGGGAGTCAAGATTATGTCGTGTTTTAAGGAATGACATGCACACTAAGAATTTAGGATCTTATTCTTATAAGAATATAGAATATTCTCTGGCTGGGGATTTTTACCCTGTCAAAAATCACATACGTTCTTGGGTTTCTTTTCCTGTTTTATCTCTTAGGTTTCTGGAGATAGGCTTTAAAAATTAATTAAAGATAGGCTATAGGATTAGAAGAGACCTTTAGAAGTGATTTATCTAGTCCAGGGTTTCTCACACTGGGAAGTATTGATATTTTGGATTAGATAATTGTTATGTGTGTCTGGGAGGCTGTCCTGTGCATTATGTCCTGACCACAGCTGCATCTCTGGCCTCTACCCACTAGATGCCAGTATACTGGTTCCCCTTCAGTTGTGACAACCAAAAATGTCTCTGGACATTGCCAGAAGACACCTGGGAGACAAAATTGCTCTGGTTGAGGACCGCTGGTAAAGCAGGTTTCCCGTCAGCGGCGGTTCCCGTCTCGGAACTCTGCCGTGGAGGGAGTCTCCCTCCTCTGGTGGTCCATTTCAGCTTCAGCTGCTCTCAGTGTAGCCGTCTTTGCTCTGTGTTAAGCGAAAGCCTGCCGCCTGTAACTTTGTAGTTCTACCTCTGGGGACCATACAGCCTCACATATAGACTTTCTCAGTTATTGGAACGTAGGCATCCAGCCCTGCCTGGTCCCTCAGTGATTGTCTTAGAACCTAAGTTGGCAGACTTTTTTTTGTAATGGCCAGATAATACTTTTAGGTTTGGCCTTATATTTACAAGCTACTTAAGGTCTCTGTTGCAGAATTTTCTTTTCCTCCCTCCCTCTTTATTTTCTGTAAGCCCTTAAAAATGTAAACAACCTTCTTAGCTGGACTTGGCCTCAGCAGGGTGCCATCCCTGGTTTTCGAGTCTCTCCTGTCTGAGGTGAGCTTCAGAGGGCAGTGCCTTCTTAAAATGTGGTGCCTCGGAGCCAGCACGGGACTTATGGAAAGGGCGGCCTTTTTGGAGCTTTGTCACCTTTCTAACTTAAAACGACCTTAATGCTAACCAAGTCTGTAGTTTGTCTTTTTTATTAGGCCCCATTACTGCCTAGGATATTTTTAGACTTACTGTAGGACCATCCATATATCCAACTATATTAGGCCTCATCTTTGCTAGAGCCAACTCCTGCTCTAGCCTCTTGAGCACTTTCTGGATCCTGCTTGGTCCTCTAAAGTGTTAATGATTTCTTTCAGCTTCCTGTTATTTAAATGTTTGATAAACATATGTTGGTCTTGTACCCAAGTTATGAATAAAAATTTGAATAACACATAGCTAAGAACTAAATCTCAGCTTAGAGGTTGCTGTCGTTACTAATGGCTTTCAAAGTGATTAGCAGTAAATAAATCTAATGACTAAGACAGGAAAACGATCTTAATTCACATACAAAATAAGAGACTATTAAGTAATGATGTTTTTCAAAAAATAGCTGATATTTATGTTTTTTTATTTCAGAAAGGTTTTACACCAGCTGCCCCGGTTCATACCAATAAAGAAGATCCAGCTGCCCAAACTAATTTGGGATTCATCCATGCGTTTGTTGCTGCCATATCAGTTATCATTGTATCTGAGCTGGGTGATAAGACATTTTTTATAGCAGCTATCATGGCAATGCGTTATAACCGTTTGACAGTGATGGCTGGTGCTATGCTTGCCTTGGGCCTAATGACTTGCTTATCAGGTGAGTGTGCTTTTTCTTCCTAATGAGTTTATTGACCTAAGGAGAAAGCATGGTGTGTGGCATTGAGTCACTGAATCATTCAGCTAGTTATGTTGGAATGTGGTGCACATTCCAGGAGTTAGTAAATAGAAAACGGTTTCAGTACGTAAACTCCTAAAAACCATATTGCACTTATAAAATTAAATTTTCAGCTATTCAGTCAAGATACATACTCATTTATTCACTAGTTTTTTAATCCTTGCTTTTGTTGTGTATATCCTTGCTTTTTTCTTTTCTGTTCAGATAAGCTTATTTATATCTGACATATTAGAAATAGGCATATTGTGTAAAAGTATTTTTTTAAGTATATTTTAAAATATACCCAGTGAAATCCAAATATCATTAGCAATTTGATAACCACTATAACCATCATTCCTTTAAAAAAACGTGAACAAACTCTTCTTTAACATTTGGGATTTACATTGTTCTTTTTTCTCCTTTAATTCTTATTTTCATTTACTTTCCTCATAGAATTTTACTCTATAAGTTTTTGCTTGAAAATCTTTTGTGGATCACACTGTCATATTTATCTTGAGCAAAAATATGCATATAAATTGAATTTTAAAAGATGCTGAATATTTCCTTTGTTACGTCTCTAAATGTTAACATTTTTTATGGACTGAGTTATAGTTATTAATACTCAGTTGATCAAAACAAAATATATCACAAATTTAAATAAACATTTTTAAACTAGAAATGCATCTCTTAATGACATGATAGAACTATTCAAATTAGTTGATATGACCATGCATGATACTTATTGCTAGAGTGAAGCAAGGTTTAGAATCAATACTGGGGGCCGGCCCAGTGGTACAGCAGTTAAGTTCACATGTTCCGCTTTGGTGGCCCAGGGTTCGCTGGTTTGGATCCTGGGTGTGGACCTATGCACTGCTTGTCAAGCCATGTTGTGGCAGGCGTCCCACATATAAAGTAGAGGAAGAAGAGTAGAGGAAGAAGGGCACAGATGTTAACTCAGGGCCAGTCTTCCTCAGCAGAAAGAGGAGGATTGGTAGATGTTAGCTCAGGGCTAGTCTTCCTCAAAAAAAAAAAAAAAAAAAAATTAGAATCAATACTGATCCTTTTTTTTTTTAAGTAGATTTAAGGGCTGAGAAATCTTATTCATCTAAATAAGTAGATAGGAAGGAATTTTGTTATAGGCATGACATTCAGGTCATTGAATTACTGGGTTATATGCTAAAAATCACACCCTGGTCTGTCATCAAAAAGGATTTTTAACGATTTACCAGCTGACAGCTTAATAAGGTCTTCTGTTGATTTTGTTGAAAGCAGAGGATTGGAACTATCAGGTATACCAAAATAAGTTTTTCTGAAATTTATCAAATGACTATTCTTATGCATGTTAGTCTGTTACTTAGAACTAACTTGTTTAACTGGATATATTTAGAAGTGATTGAGAAAATTGAAATACTGTTAATTTCAGAGTACTTTTGCCAAGAAAGGATTTCATTTTAAAAATTATATCACATGTTTTAAATAATATTTTTCTGGAACCTTGGGACTGCAGCTTTAGGTCATTCAATTTATGGAACATGTTTACCACATTCCCTAATTGCCATGGCAGTTCTAGTAAGTTCATGGAAAATCATCTAAGTCAGGCTTATTTTCTGTTAGAAATCATTTGACTTGGTTTTTTAATTTAAATAAACATCATATACATCCCCATTACAACTATCCACCTTAGAATTCTAATTGTGAAAGGATGGGTGGATGGATTAGGCATGGAATTCAGCCTTGAGTGGGCCGCTTGGGGGAAATCGGACACTGTAGGGCTTTGGTGTTTCTGTCTCATGCTCTCTTTGCTTTGCTATAACAAGACTCTGCCTTAGGGAAAATGCATTTGTTTACACTGGTTGGCTGGATGAAAGAGGCATGATTTCTAAGTGAAAATCATTCCTACCAAGGCCAAAATACCCTATTTCTAAAACCATGACCATTCTTTCCAAGGCCCATAATGCCCTTATTTCTAATGCCTTGACCTTATCCGAAACTTGTATTAAGACAGGGAAGGCCCAAAGCTCTATCTTTGGTTTATGATGCCTTGGTTTAGGACACCAATGTTTCACACCCCCTTTTTGGCACCTCCATACTTGGGGAAATGCACATAGGAAGCTGGGTAAAAGGCTTCTTTGTAAAGTGGGCAGAGGGCAACTGTGAAGAAAGGTGTGAGAAAGGAGAAACGCCCATGACTCCTTTGACTACCAGCATGTTTTCAGGCAGATGAGTTTTAGGAAAGAGTACACATGAAAGTTGAACTTCTGGAAATCGATTCTTTCACAAACTATTAATCCGTGTCCCCTTGTAAAGTCTTTGTGTACCCCTGGGGGATGTCAGTCCTAGTTTCTAAATTGCTCCTGCGCACCTCCTGTCTCTTTTATACTTCGCAGAGGGCTAAGCGAGCTAGGGAGGCTGCCTGGGGTGGATCCAGGCTCGTGCCCTCACTTCGCTGGGGATTGACCTCGCCTCTGCCATCTGACGACAGGGATGATATCATGCCTACTTCAGGATTTTATTATTACTGCTGTTCTCTCTCCTTCTCAAGGCCTTCCTCCCATTTCACTCCTTATCTACTTGCACCCTGATTTCTGCTTCTAACACTGTTGTAAAGGCTTCAGTAATCAGCTTTTCTTACTACAGAGTTCAGTTTTGATTTTAATGAGCCCCTCAGACCACACTCACAGGCATTCCTGCCTTTTCATGCTTTTGGCTTCTATGATACCATGTGCTTCTTGTTATATTTCTATCTCGCTAAAAAAAATTTTTGTACCATAAGTATTGATATTCCCCACAACTTTATCCTTGGCCCATTTTTTTCCCTTCACGCTAATGTTCTTGTGCCGAGTGTTCTCAGTTTAGTTACCTGTAAGTCAGTGATTCCCAAATCTATATCTTCACTCGAGATATTTTTCTTGGAACTTCAGCATTGCCAGGGTGTGGAGGGACCCGTACATTTGTAGCTCCATTCTGACTGGATGCAAAGCACTTGCTTAAAGAGAAAATAACCTCTTGTTCCCAGGGCAAACGTGCTTGAGTGTCTGAGGACAGGTTTCCGAGGAAGGAGGAAATAAAGGGACAATAACCAGGGGGAGAAAAAGTTATGCCAAGTACTTTTTTGCTCTCTAAGGAGCTGTCAAGGCAAAAAAGGTGGAATTATAAGTGTCAGTAAGTAGTAACAATTTTTTAGATGATCTGAAGATAAAAGGAAAACTAAGTTTAGGAGATTTAAAAAGGTTTGCTACATTTCATTTTTAAATTTTTAAAACTTTATGCAGAATATTTTAAATTTACAAATTTACAAAAATAAGGTAGTACAAAGAATACCTATATACCTTTTATCCAGGTTCACCTGTTGTTAACATTTTACCTATTTGCTTTAGCATTTGTGACCTATCCATTTATCTATATCTAAATAAAATTATGTGTATGTGCACACATTTATTTAGATATGTATGTGAACATGTACCCAATTTATATATCTGTAGATATGTGTACATATACACATAATATATATCTTTATATACATAATAGATTCATTACTTTAATCTGCCATCCATATAGTCTTTTAATCTGAAATGTTTCCACAGCCTTTTCTTATGTTTTACAATATTAACATTTTTTAAGAATACAGCTCTCCCCCATTTAATGCACTGTTCCTCATTTTGTATTTGTCTGATGTTTCCTCACGATTAGCTTGAGATTATGCATTTTTGACTAGAACACTGCATAGGTGGTGATGTTTGTTGTTCTAAGATACCACATCTGGAAGCACATGATGTCCATTTGTCCTTCACTGATGTTAGTTTTGATCACCTGGTCGAGATTTCTCTTGTATACTGTCTTTTTCTCTTCCCTGGCAACTAATATGCCATCTTTAGGGAGATACTTTAAGACAATACAAATACCTGTTTCCCATAGTGTAGCATCAGTTGATGCCTCTCACATGATGTAA